TAAGGGAATTAACACACAATATGTTCTAGGAGCTACAATTTCTTGCCAACAAACCATTTGTTATTACTTATGTAACATAAGTAAAGGGTGTTGTTTGTGATAGACAAGTGATAGGCTGGAAATATGCTGTATCAGAGGCCTGCCAGAAAAATCCAAGACCTCAGCAGCTGTCCCTCACAACCAAGCCAAAACCTGTTCATTAGCACAGAAAGGTGCTGAAAGGATGGCACCAGGAGGCAGTCACGATTCTCAGCTCTCACATTTTTTGGATGGCCTGTGGTGTCTGGTTTATAAGAGCTGGCAAGACAAGAATTGCTTGGAGGTGGCACCAGTCAAGGACAGTGATTGAAAGCGTTTAAGAGTTATTGACACATGTAATGATGCTTGTCATGGAAGCCTTTCGGAGCTGGTAAGATTGTCACACATTGTTATGACTGATAATGAAGGCTGAGTAGAAGATGAAGAATGTCATTTAAAGAAGCCGTGGTTATGAAGTATTAATAGGAACACCTGTACACCTGCTTGTTTATGCAGTTACCCAATCAGCCAATCATGTGGCAGCAGGACAATGGATAAAACCATGAAGATGCAGGTCAAGGGTTTCAGTTAATGTTCATATCAAACATCAGACTGGGGAAAAAGTGTTATCACTGTGACTTTAACAGTGGCATAGATGTTGATACCAGACAGGCTGGTTTGAGTATTAATGCTGTTGAAGAAAAACATTCTGATCATTTGCATGTTGCATCGGAAATCAAGATTCATCAGCCCAGGCGACGTTTTTCCAATCTTCAACTGATGATCCTGTGTCCACTGTACACTGAGATTCCTGTTCTTGGCTAACAGGACTAGAACCCTATGTGGTCTTATGCTGTTGTAGCCAACCAGCCTTAAGGTTCAATGTGTTGTGCATTCTGAGATGCTTTTCTGCTCACCACGGTTGTAAAGAGTGGTAATTTGAGTTCCCATAACCTTAATGTTAGCTCAAATCAGTCTGGCCATTCTCTTCTGTACAAAATGTGCTTGGTGAAATATAGTAATTCTGATAATAAGGTTCACAGTATGCAATGATAACACCTGCTACTGATGTTTTTCAAACTGGCCCTTATAATCAAGCCCAATCTTTGGCAGGGATTGATATGCAGGAAGGGGATTTCCTCTGTTTCTATAAATCTTTCATATTTACATCCTGCCCTCACCTGTATACAGAATTGTACATGAGGTTCTTTGACCTTTTGATGTCCTGCAAATGACACTTCTTCTGCTTTCACCATTTGCTGTGCTGAGGTAAAGGTCACACGTGGCCATGTCTGAGCCCTGTGTTGACTACAGGGACAATGTGCACACTTGCTGAATTCCCAGGCTGACTGAGTTAGGTGCACCTGAAATAAGCAGGCCTGTTGGTGTCTTACATCATCTGTAGACACCATCTGTAGGCTTTTTTTAATGTGGGGAAGAATGGAAAAGTGGGAGCAATATTATTTATTTAAAGCCCTGGAGACAACACATTGCCTTGTTTGCAAAGCTGATGTAATCCCAACCGGATTTACAACCAAATTCAGTGTAATTTGCAAAGCCAATTCCCTCATCTTCACTGTATTTATGCTGTGTGATAAAGCCTTATGCTGCTCCTGCTGTTCTGTATTATGAGTACTGCACATCTTTTTAGTAACACTGTGTCCAGTCTCCTGTGAGCATTAGCCTTTGTATTATGTTGTTTGTTGCACCATGGCAAAAAAAAAAATATTAATAAAATAAAACTATAAAGTTAGAGCCCATATCTAAGTTTAGGTACTGAATTAGGTGTTAGGTGTAGGTGTTGCATTACTTAGACACAGGAATACAAAAAAACGCTAAAAAAAAACCCAAAATGCCCCATAAACATATTGTGTGTGTGTGTGTGTGTGTGTGTGCGTGTGTGTGTGTGTGTATGGAAAGGGATGTGAGTACACAGAAATTGACTTTCAGCTTATTTGCCAAATGAGACATCATCACTTTAAAGCAACATCAATTATTAACACTTTGTTGCACAGCTGTAGAAATTATCCACTCCATAATCCCCCTCCATAATCCCCCTGTCCCACTCCCAATCTTTGCAGTATATCTTACAATAAAAACAGTTCATCATAGACACACTCTATGCACTTACACTTTGCCTTTTTTTGCAGAAATGTATTTGATTTAATTCTGATTATTTGCTTTCAAGCTAGATTTTGGGTGGCTGTGGTCTATTTATTAGACTAGCTCAATTTGGCATAAAAAAACAAACCTGGCAAGCCTGTTATTAACCATCCTGTCTGCTGCTCCTTCCCTGAGCATCAAGAAGCAAGATTCCTACCCCAGTGGTCGCTGGCCCACGATTGCACAATCAAGGAAGGTGAGCAAATTTGACAGCTTAAATCTGTCAAATAGTAACATTTTTTAAATTATTCATCACTCAAAATAGGTCATTTTTATTTCAACAGAATTAAAAATGCATGAGCTTTTGGATTAGGAATTTATTAAGACTTATTTCAATTCAATTTGATTTATATAGCAGCATCTCATCAGGCAGCAGGAGTAAAATGTGTAGCTTGACTGACAGACAGAGAGAAAGAGAGGGAGAGAGAGAGAGTATTAAGTGTGCTGTTATCATATAGTGCTTTAAGAGGATGTACACTGTGTACAGAGTGAGCCACTCGTAAGTCAACAAACCTGAGTGAATGCGTGCGAGTGTGTGTGTGTGTGTGGGGTGGGGTGGGGGTGTGTTGTGGTGGTTTTACAGCATCCAAACACTCTATGCCCATGAACCCTCCCCTCCATATCTGCACCTTTACCTAAGAGAAAAACTATTAAGAAAACAGCTTGACTAAACAAATATGTTTTCAGCCTAGATGTAAAGACTGAGACTGTGTCTAAGTCCTGAACACTAACTGGAAGGCTGTTCCATAACTGTGGGGCTTTGTAAAAAAAAAAAAACCTCTTCCCCTGCTATAGGTTTCATTATTCTAGGTACCAACAAAAAGCCTGCACCTTTTGATCGAAGCGGGCGTGGCAAATTAAGACCATTCAGTGCTTTATAGGTCATTAGTAGAATTTTATAATCAACATGAAATTTTACTGAGAACCAATACAGTGTAGAAGATAGAAGATATGTGGTCAAATCTTCTGGTTCTAGTAAGGACTCTGCCTGCTGCATTCTGAACTAGCTTGTTTATGCAACTACTTGTAGAAGTACTTCTCTCTTGTCAGAATTAAGTAAGAGGAAGTTACTCAGCATCCAGTATCTAATGTCTTTACATGCATTGTTACATGCTTCTGGCTTTGCCGAAACATATAACTGTGTGCCATCAGCAAAGCAGTGGAAGCTAATACCATTTTTATGAATAAATGTACCTATAGTGCATTTGTTGAATGGCTGATATATTTGGTGGTGGTGGTCTGCCCCACCTGCACCTATGGATGAGCCACTATTGACTCTTCAATCTCTTATAGAAGTTCAAGCCCATTTTAAATCAAACTGATCCAATGCTATTTGTAAATGTTGCATTTATTTCATTATTATGATTCAATTTCTATTTCTTACTCTTATTCTCATATCATTTTCTTGTACTTTGCTTTCTTGTAGATGGTCATAATTTATACAGTATTCTTACATCTCATGGTACAAAAGTCTCCTCTTTTCTTGCTCCTTGACTCCTCTGTGCACATTTACAGAATCAATACCTCCAAAGGACAGTGCGTATGATTCAATTTCTGGGTCACATGATGCAGGGACATCAATGTATCAGAGTATTGAGAAGCACCCTTAATCTGGGTGTGATGCTGCACTATGCAACACAGTCTTCCAATTACACAGAAACCTGTGGCATTGTGTTGAGACTACTGGGCCTGGGGACCATTTCAATCCTGATTTTTGATTGCTTGGAAATTTTATCCCGGTGCAATCATAAAGCAATAACATCATCATATTATCATCTTGAATTACTGACAATCTTCAGTCAGTGTATTGAGTCAGCTGGTAAAACAGTGCACACACTGCCGGATGCTCAACTTATAATAGTTATATTTATAATTATTTATAACTAGAGTATTTATAACAGTCTGACCTATGGCACACAGCAGAGGGATTTTTTCATAGGGATATTTTAGGAAATTAAAATGCATTTGAATGGCATGCATATATAATATGTATATTATATGAAGTATAATCACCAACTGTAAACTGTGAATAATAAGGCTAGAGAGTTGGCAAGCAGCTTTGACTACTGAGCTTTAGCTGGAAACACAGTTTGCTTTGTTAATAATAAAAGTTATTATTGCCTAGGCACTATGTCAGTAGCAGGCAGGTGAGTTGTGTGGCATGTGTTGGGAGCAGCAGGAAACTGAGAATCTGAGCTTTTTTCTTTTTTGCAGTCCCACAGCGTGCATGAAGCTGCCAAGCGCTCTCATATCAGAGTGTGCGCTCTGCTGAATTACGTCGTCATCTACACTGCATAACGACACTACATGTCGGTCTTAATGTGGCTATGTATGTCATATACATAGAATGTGGGTGTGTCTGTTTAAGGACTGAAATCATCTCATTCTCAGTTCTGGGTGGTTAAACGGTCAAAAGGTCTTGTTGAAAATTCCTTGCAATGAGTCTAAGAGTAAAGCCTTTCTTTATCATGTATGCATAATATAACCTTGCATTATATTGCAATTAGTGTGTAGAAAATGGTTTGGAAAAAAAAGCAAATAATGTTAGTACACCATTACTGTATTTGTATCACGCACCTGTTCCTGACTATCTTAAAGTCTTCAGTTTAAATTCTTTTGTCTTTAATCAAAAGACATTTCAGGGCACAAAAAAGTGCATATTTTTCAAAAAATTGTTGTTCTTCTTCTTCCAGGATATTTGGGTTGGCACAGATATTATGCCGAATGCCCTTCCTGATGCAGCCCTCTCCAGTTTTATCCAGGCTTGGGACCGACACTGGGAGTGCACTGTCTCATGCAGCCCCAGCAGCTGGGGTTGGTTTCCTGGCCGGGAATTGAACCCGGGCCGTGGCGGTGAGACCTCTGTGGCCTAACCAGTAGTCCTCCAGGGACTGCTATATTTAAAAAAAATAAAGTACAAAAATAAAATCCAAAATAGTGGCATCTGCAAACTGTCTTGAAGTTATATGACTGTAATTATCATGCAGTCATACAAACTAGAAGAAAAGAAATGAATGTTCTAGGAGGCTGTCACCATCATCCTTTTTGGGAAAAGAAAACGGATGATTCCCTGATTAGGATGTCATTTGTGTCCCACTGATATTACATTTACAGACATGCACTGTACCTACATTCATATTTCAGATACACTCCTGGGCAAAAAAAAAAAAAATTAAAAAATGGGCCAAGCCCAGAATGTCACTAAGCTACACTACTAAGCTTTTAATGGTCTTTAAAACAAATCAATGAGCAAGAATTAATCCTGTGCCACCATTTGCTCGGTTACTTTTCCTGCAGTGAACTGTTTGTTTGGGGAAACAGAACCAGGGAAATTCACTTATATAGTCTTCTTGTACGCAAAGGTAAAATCATGATCATGATTAAAATGCTTCATGTAAAATTCAAACTAAGACATGTCTGGGTGTACAATATTTTCCAAAAATATCTTCTGGGATTTTTTTTCTTTTTCTTAACCAAGTAATGACTAATCTTTTACCTGCCACACCTGATGCAGCCCATCAGGGGCCTGATAACAAGCTCATAATGGAACCAGGACTGACAGAGCGATCTAGGAGAGAGCCACAGTATTTGTTTAATTCCTGCTAATTTTCTGACCAATGATTTGTTGTTAAGACCATTAAAAGCTTAATGCTTTTACATTTTGGGCTTGGCCCTTTTTTTTTTGCCCAGGAGTGTACATCTCCCAGCCCATGATGACCACAGGAAGCTCCACCATGCAAATTTCCTGAAGATCATGGGAAGAGGAAAATTAAGTTCTCTTGTTCTTTTTTCTTTATTTTTTAAAGATTTTTTGTATTATCTGATGAGGTCACTTCGAATATACAGCCATGTTATTATATCATTATAGGTTGAAAGTAAATTATTAATTAAAAAAAACATTTTAAGTAAATCATTAGAATGTCATTAATGTCCTCATGCTTTTAGCATGGATGCTAATTAACCGCATTTTGTGTATCTACAAACTCAACCGTTGCTTTCAACTCTGTTACACATTTAAGAGCCATTGTGGGCAAAGAAACCTTGTAAAAAAAAAAAAACTTGATGGATGCCTGAGATGTTAAATGCTTGTTTTCTTAGGATCAATGTTGAAAATGATGATAAAAGTTACAGATGATAAATGGCACAGCAGTTGTGGAATCACCCATGATTTATTTATTTATTTTTTTTTTTGTGAAATCAGCTTCACATTCATTGAACACATTTGTGGGTGAAGGTCGAAGTCCCTTGAGGTTGGGTAAAAATACAAGAAGGAGGAATGTTGAACCTATCTAGAGTGACTCAGTGTTTCGCATCTAGTATTTATGAAATTTTCCCTAATGCTGATGCAGTATGCGGTACAGTAAACAAGTATGTCATTTGACCTCAGACTGTGTTTTGCAGTGTGGGAGAAATGTTCCCAGTGACCTGGTGTCATTTATTGCGTTGGACATACTTGGAAAGAAAACTATACACAGCACCAAGCCAAGAAGACACAGCTTGGTGGGGATGATTGGGGGATTGCGTCCAACAAGCCCAACAGTGGACAAAGCTGGTTCTCTAGCACCCCCTGTTGTTCCAAGGTTGGTATAGCTGCATGTATTGTTCTCATTAAAAGCTGTCCTCAGTATCCTAGACTTCAGAGCAATATTTTATAACATGATATTCATACATGGTTTAGTATCGCATATACTCTATAGTAGAAATATGTTGCAACATTATATCACATCATGTGCGTATAGTTGAGTCTTAACACTGCGTATAAGGTTTAATGTATAATAATAAAGGTTTAAAAGTGTAAATGTTACAGTGAAACTAACGTAATCAGTATCATGCCTAACACAATTTTCCAAAATTAATCAGAAAAACAACCCCAAAGCACTCTTATCTTATTTTAACTGGCCTGTACTGAATCAGCTGTAAAGATTTGATTAAAAGAGTAGGAGAAGGTTGGCCACTTCAGCCAAACACAACATGAAAGCAGGGTCTGCGTGAATGGATATTTTGGATGCTTTGGAAGCTTTCCTTAAGCTAACAGAGCACAATACGGTTAGATCAGCCACAGTAGATATCGAGTGAGTGCAGGAATGTGTCCCTAAAGTAAGTCTACAGTAGCAGCATTTGGAGGAATAATTGTATGGAGGTGTGGAGAGAGCAACTCGTATGAATGGTTCAAAAATACTGGATTGCACCAGCTGAACATGCACATGTCCATGCCAGTTACCGTGTGGTGTGGCAACTTTTATGAAGTAGGGCGGCAACCACAAACTGCAGAACCAAACCGAGACTAGTTCTATGAAGCGTTCTTTTTCTTTACTCAGCCAGTTAGAAGGTTCAAGTCCATTATCCATTAATGAGAGACCAGAGCAGTGCGCCAACACCAGGCATCAAAGCTGACAGCCTCTCAGATATCACCTTGGCCTGGCACTAGAGCAGCGAGTGAAGGATCAACAAGGAGATGAAAGATCACATCATTACCACAGCACCTGGATTACTCTTTTGTCTCCATAAAAGAACAGCAGGTAGGATGAATTTTGTCCAACTATTTGAGTAATCACATCTTCAGACATCTACTTAGATGTTAGCTGAAATGAGCAATAATTGTTTGATAATGTACATAGACAGTAGTTTGTCTGGAACACATTACATCCAAAAATGAAGACCGTGTTTGTTAAACTTTGACCTTTGTTTGACAAATGTACAAAATGAAGGAAGATAACTACAGTAAGTAATACTAAGTATTGTGGATAATAAAATGTAAATAAGATCAATCAAAATACTCTGAATATAAACAGTGTCATAGACTGTAACTAGAAGCTGATTATCTTCATTTATCTCTCAGCAGTGAGGGCTTAGTGCTCAGTAGTTGTACATGCATTATGTAATGCGTTTCTCCTGAATGCTGGCTGTTTCCTTGCCTTCTTGGCTCTCTGGATAGCAGATGACGTGACACTGGACTTAGAATGCTATCATGTTTCACAGACATCTTATTCATTAGTCACGGTAGAACTGAAATGGGGCAGAACAGCTTTTATTCTCTCTGAACAATCATCACTGGCATGATCTTTTAATTACCCCGTATAAATGACCATCCATAAAAGTTTGCCAATTTTTTTTTTTTTTTTTGTAGAACAGAAGATTCGAGAGAGAAGTGACGGAAACCAGAAAGTTGCCACTTTCCACTAGGCGCATCATGAGACGTAGCCAGAGTGTCCGTGAGCTGTTTGATAAAGGAAAGGGAGCAAAAGTGAGTGTGAATAAAGTGAATGAGCTGACTAACATGAAAAAGTACTTTCATTTAAGAGAGAATTTTTTTTTTTTTTTATTTCTTCCACTATAGATTCTTACCCAAAGTAGGACAGGGAAGAGGACACCTACATACTTCCACAGACCGGCCCTGGACAGTGTGATTACCAGCAAAGGCAGTCTCATTCTGCTAAATGGACCTAATGCTATTGAGGTTCACAAGGTATATTCCAATACCATAAGGAAAATTCGCATGGGATTCCCATATCCAATGGGTATTCAGTTGGAATTGCATGGTGAATCTGTATTCACTGAATATGGAATTTTAAGTAAGTTCATAAAGGAGTTTTTGTTGGTTGTTAACGGGTTAGTCATTAAATAAGTACTAAAAACACAATGAGGTGTGCTGTTACAGGAAAATATTACATTATGGGGTGGTGTGATACACCCTGATATGACGCCACAGCAATTTGCCAACACCAGCATTTTGTATTATTATTATTTATTAAAGTACAGCACATGGTACTTTATATCTGTTTACAGTTATGTTAAATGTTGTGGAATGTCCATGGAACAGGTTTGCTCCTGTTATCACTTAGTTTATAACAAGTATAAATAGTGGTTTCCACACCAGTATTTCCTTTTCCTCTTTCTTGAAGTAAGCAATTAAAAAAAAAGCTGCTTGGTTTGTTATGTTACCAAGAAACTATAAAGCCCTGCCCTGAACACTTTCCCATGTCAGGAGACTTGTTTACAAGTTCTTACACTCGAGTTTCCTCACAGAAAAAAAAAATCATCACACAAAACATCATATCAACAGTTACAACAGTTAACTGTTTTAAAACCCTCGCGTGCTAAAGATATTCCAGTCTTCCATGGTAGACTCAGTGGGAATAATATGAATTTTATAGGGTCCCATACGAAAGTCCATCATACGAAAAGGGTCCCATATGAAGTCCATCATGACCAAGACAGAATAAGTCATAGTTTATTTGCCTTTATATAAAATCCAATATAAAATTTGTAAGAGTTTGTGCACATTATCTAATTTACATGAAAGTTGCAAATGGATCAAAGGTGTGAAACAGCTTTAAAAAGAAGTTTACTGTATATATCATCGAATGAACTCATTCTTAAGGCCATGAGGTTAAAATTCATTGCATTTGGTCACCAGATCCATTTAATGAATACACACGAATGTTTTATTCACCAGATTTTCTAAAGCCTGCAGGTTTGTGGACTACTATAGAGTGTAGATAACTCACTGCCTTTTCATCCCAGTTTGCCTCTGTATGATTTTTACAGCCTTTGGATTTTTGATTTTCTACAACACAGCCCAGGAAATTGAGCCAGCTGGTGAATGGAGCCCAGCTGACTGATGTTTACCTGCCAGCCATCACAGAAAAGACATCAGACCTGCAAGCGGCGAGAGTAAATCTCAGCCAGTCCTGTCCTTATGTGTACAGCAGCGGACGTCGCAGATCCACCTCGTCTGTCATCTCGCAAAGAGCCTCAGACTTCAGTGCTAGAACGGTGAAGAACCAGCTTGCAGCGTTTAGTTTTAGAGTTGACACTGATACACAAATCTTCACTAAGGCAATGCACACAAGTCAGTGCTGAGAGACATCCGTGTTGAGATTTGTGTATT